CCTCAGCATCAGCTCCATGCTGTTGGCAACTGCACGTGCACCTCGGAGTGGACAGCAGGAGGGCTATGCTGCCTGAGGCCCCATCCCCACATCTGCTCTGAGGCGCGTGTGCACCCACCACTATGGAGCTCATGCTGGAGCCCGGAGCAGCTGTTTGCAGCCTCCTGGCTGCATCTGGCCCAGGCTCCAGTAACTGCTGCCAACCACAGAGCCCAGGCTGCTTGCAGCAGGGCTTGCAGCTGAGCCTTCCTGATTCCCACCTGCTCTGAGCCCACCCCAGCCCAGCCCCCCACCAGGTTGAGGCTGGTGCTGCCCCTTGCCAGGAGCACTGCACCTTTTGCAGGCATAGCTGTGCAGGGTGGGTGGGTGGATGGGTGGTTGAGTAGATGAGCAGACTCTGGGCCAGGGCCTTGGCTAGCTGCACTGCAGTCCGGGGGGCTGGCTCCCTGGCGAAGCACAGGGGCTCTGGCGGGACCAAGGCATTGTTGGGTTGGACTTTGTCCAGTGGTCCAGGAGTCTGGCTCTGTGTGCCTGTGCATCTGGTTCTCTGTGTTTGTCTATGTGTCTATGCACACACATGTCTGGTTCTGGGTGTGTGTGTGCATGTGTCTGTTCTGGGTGTGTTCTGGTTCTCTGTGTATGTGCACGTGAACACACACGTGTGTGTGTTTCTGGTTCTCTCTCTGCTCTCCTTTTTTTCTTTCTTTCTCTCTCTCCTCTTTCTCTTATTTGTCTCTCTCTCTCTCTCTCTCACTGCAACATGCTCAACAAAAAAGGAATACGCAACAACATTTATGATTATTAAATATACTAATTCCTAGTGCATCCTGCCATGTACTTCTTGCCACCCTCATTTTGTTTTTCTGGTATGCCAGCACTCCGGCACCTTCCAAGGTAGACATTGGTTGTTTCGGCACTCCAGCCAAAAAATGTTGCCTACCCCTGTATTAGACTAAAAAAAGTCATGGTGCATGTACTCTGCAGGGCTCAAATGTTACTGAATTTGTCAGCACCTCTTTTTCTAATCCAAGTTTCTCTTTTCTGTATTTCACAATTGTATGCACAAATGCATTTAACAGAATGTGTGTTGTACCTGTCTGTGTGACTCTACAACTCTGTATCTAGATCGAGGTGCGTTCTTTATGCATAAGAATATCTGGGATAATAGTTGGATCAAAAGAAGAATATATATTGTTTTGCCATAAATGCCTTTTATGATCTAAATGACTTGGGAAGGGAGAACAATGGAGAGATGGCCAGGTATGCATATTACTCCAAATTATTCAGGGTGGTAAAAAACAAACAAATGAACACACACAAAAAAGCAATCTGACTGAAGAATGGAAGCAGGCTCTTATAAAATTGAATGAGCCACAAAATGACAGAAGTTCAAGCTGATAAGTGCAGAGTGGTGTGTGTGTGTGTGGTGGGGGGGGGAGGGGAGAAAGAAATCTACATGCAGATATATAATGATGCAAGGCATATTAGTGGTTACTAATTAAAAGAGAGACATCTGTGAAAACACTGGCTCAGGATTAAGGAACAGTAAAAAAATTTAAATAAATAAAATGGTAGGAAATTAAGATGGAATCGAGCATACCAGAAAACGTTTCATAGTTGGTAGGGTCAAAAGGGACCTGAGCAGATCATCCAGTCCGCCCCCCTGCCATGGCAGGAAAGAGTACTGGGGTCAAACGACCCCAACAAGGTGTTCATCCAGCCTCCTCTTAAAGCCCCCCAGGGTAGGAGCAAGCACCACTTCTCTTGGAAGTGGGTTCCAGATCCTAGCCACCCTGACTGTGAAGTAGTGCCTCCTGATATCTAGCCTGAATCTACCTTCTGCCAGCTTGCGACCATTATTTCTAGTCACTCCTGGTAGTGCTCGGGGGAACAGGGACTCCCCCAATGCCTGCTGGTCCTCTGTGATTTTTTTGTAAACAGCCACTAGATCCCCCCTCAGCCTTCTCTGGTGGAGGCTGAACAGGTTCAGGGCTTGTAGCCTCTCCTCATAGGGCCTACCCTGCTGCCCCCTGATCATGCGACTGGCCCTCCTCTGGACCCTCTCCATGTTGTCCACATCTCTCCTGAAGTGCAGCACCCAGAACTGGATGCAGTACTCCAACTGCGGCCTGACCAGTGTCGCATAGAGGGGGAGGATCACCTCCTTGGACCTGCTCGTGATGCATCTGTGGATGCATGACAAGGTCCGGTTGGCCTTGTTGACCATGTCCCCACACTGTCGGCCCATGTTCATTTTAGCATCAATAATGACTCCAAGATCCTTTTCTGCCTCTGCACTGACAAGAAGGGAGTTCCCCAGCCTGTAGGTATGCTGCTGGTTCTTCCTCCCCAGGTGCAGCACCTTGCACTTGTTAGTGTTGAAACCCATCCTGTTCTCATCCGCCCACCCCTGTAACCTGTCTAGGTCCGATTTGGAGCCTATTTCCACCCCCCCCCCCAATATCTTAGTGTCGTCTGCAAATTTGAACGGGGTGCTTTTTACCTCCTCATCCAAGTCACTGATGAAGATGTTGAACAGTGCAGGCCTGAGGACCAAGCACTGTGGTACCCCACTGCCTACGTCTCTCCGGTTGAATAAGATCCGTCCACCACCACTCTCTGGGTGCAGCCCTCAAGGCAGTTAGTGACCCATTTGACTATGTAGGTGTTGACACCACAGTCCCCTAGTTTTTTTTTTAATGAGAATGAGGTGAGAGACAGTGTCAAAGGCCTTCCTAAAGTCCAGAAAGACTACGTCCACTGCTACGCCTGCATAGGATTTAGTGACCTGTCATAGAAGGCCACCAGGTTTTTGGTGAGGGGCTTGCACATGGCAGCTGCTGCTGTCATCACCACACACTGGCCTGTGCTGCTGCAGCTGCTGTGCCTACACCTGCACCATTTTTTCATGGCCAGTTGCACATGCAGCTCCGTGGACTGCTGACAGGTGGTGTGTGATTGATTGGACAGGCACAAGGCCTATTAGCGGCCCATGGAGAAAAGCAGTGAGGAGCAGTGGCACAGGGAAGTGGGTGGCAATGGCAATGGTGCTTGCCGTGTACAAGCCCCGCCCCATTTTTCCCCCCCTCCCAGCGCTGCCTCTGTATGCACCCTTGGGAGGGCATAGGGGGTGTGTCCCCCAATCTGCATGGGCTGCAACTGTAGGCCAGCGCTGGGCTCTTCCCAGCGGGGGGGCTGGGCTGCGTTGCACTCGGGCTGGGTGGCAGTGGCACTAGGAGCATGGTTGGGGGGGCTATTGCAAATTTTGCAGTGGTTGCAGCCTCTCCCATAGCCCTGCTCCCAGTGCTGTTGCTGCCTGCCCTGAACACAGTCCAGCTCTGTCCCAGCCCCAGCCCACCCTGTGTGCAGATCCAGGGGCACGCACCTCCCCATGCCCTCCTGGGTTGTGTGCAGTGGTGGGAGCTGCCCCCTTCCCCCCACACCCTCTGGATGAGCTGCTTGCAGCTCCGTCCCACGCCCCAACCCCACTCCCTCTCTCACCATGGGGGCCTCAATTTGCACCCCTTCCCCCCCAACAAGAAAAAAATATAAAGGAGTACAGGAGTTGAGACTTTGAGTCGGGGAAAAAGGCTGAAAACCCCTGGGCTAAATTATCTGATTTTTTTTTTAGTTTAGAGAAGAGGATTGGGCGGGTGGGGGCAATAATATAGATTGGAGGAAAAAAAATATACAGTAATAAGGATTTACTGTTTCTGGTCTTTCACAATGTTAGAATTAGGAGTCATACGATGAAGGAATAAGGAAGTGGGTTTAAAATGAATAAAAGAAGTATGTTTTTTCCACACAACATGTAATTAACTTGTGGAACTCCTTGCAACACTGTATTGTGGAACTTGATCGTTTAACCAGGTTCAAACAAGGGTCAGATCAGAATTAACAGACAGTAGACATGTAAGTGGATGCTAAACTTGACAGGTAGATGTTGTAATTAGGTTATACCCCTAAGCCTCTGAATAGTGGAAGTTGAAAGGGAAGAGAGTCAAGGGGCAGATCAGTATGGATAGGCCTCTTTTCTCTTAGCATCTGCTCTCTTCTACTGAAAGATGCAAGATACTGGGATAGATAGATCTGTGATTTGATCCAGTGCGATACTTATGGCATGGTTAGCTAATAAAATTACAAACTCAATTTCGTTTTCTGGACACCATTTTGATTTTCTGTGCCTTCCCCTCCATGTGGGGTTAAATTAACTGGTATTGGGAGAAATGTCTTCTATTTAACTGAAGGCAAAAAAAATAAGATTAGTAAATCCTTCATGACTGTCCATTAAAATGGAAGCACTTTTGGACAAAGAACTAACTACTACCCAAGGAAAAGCTATTTTTCAAATCTAGACATCAAGGGTTACGACTTGACAGGGAACTTGAGGTTGGCCAGGGAGGTTGCACAATGGTGGTAAAGACTAGATACCATTTTTCAAAAGATATCTCAGTCAGCACATAAAGCTGTGCAGGGGGAGATG